AACCCACGACGGGACATGTCGCGGTCTACATGATTCAAGCAGTGACTCAGACAAAGGCCGTGCATTCGTGACAGCTTTCATGGGGTCGTGGCATTTAGAGAGAAGAGCCATCTCTCAGATCACCATGTCTAATGATGATCCCCCTCTTCAAACTTCAGCCAGTCTTTCCAGAAAGACATATTGGATATTAAACTGAGCGTTACACTTGATCTTAGCCCAAAGGGCACATCCCCTGGCTGCTGGATACACAACATTTGTGCATAAACAAAATCTTTCTGCCTTTCAGTCCAGCCTCTTTTCCTAAGCCTTGTCTCATTCAATAATTTACCAGCTGTTCCAGAAAACACTCTGGCTTCAGCAGTAAGGAACTTTAATTGATTTGCTGATGTCTGGAGCTATGTTAAAATACAGTCAAATGCTAGAGAGGATTTGCTGCTGTGTGCACGTAAACTTCAGAGAGCTGACTACGGGCCAGCAGCTATCCCCGCCGCCCCTTTGCTAGCACGGGGTGGTGCAGAATATAAATCCCTGTGGCTTTGAGCACCTGCAGCATGGCTGGGGCTGCCCTTCCACTTGAACTGCTCCCAGTAAAACTGCAGCAGAAGCCCAGCAGGAAGGAGGTTGTGCTGCTTGGAGCTGTCATTAACTACCAGTTGGGCATTGAATTAATTGGACAGCCAGCAGCGCCTGCCAACAAAACACTCTACAGCAGCGTGGTGATGGGTGTGCAAGGGTTGGGGATCACGAACCAGAGAGGCCCAGGCTTTAGCTGTGAAGATAAGGCAGGCAAGGAGGCGAGAGCATCGCTTATCTCTGCCTGCACCACAGCTCCTGTCAGCCCTGGGGTAGCGCCTTTCTCAGGGAGCTACCACCCCGCACAGAGAGACGTGGGCACCGTCCAGGTCAAACCCATGGGATGCTGCAGTGGCCGACACCAGTGTTTCCTGCCCCTTCTTTTAAATCTTGGCATCGTGGTCCTGCAGTGGGAGGAGAGGAACAGGTGAGAGCCTACAGGGGCCGAGGGAAGGAAAGCTGCCTCTGCACATCACTGTCAGAGTGTTTATTTATTTATCACGTAACGGTAGTTACAGCTGGAAAAAGCAGGAGGGGGACTGCTGCCAGACAATGTATCTAGGGAGATGTTTTGTTAGTGCCACCAGCTGTCCCCTTGGAATAGAGAGCACGTCTGAGCCATGACTCACGCAGCCAGTGTCTTATTTCACTCTCACATCTATCCAAAAATGTTCCTCCAGCACGAGAATGCAATAAAAGCCTCCTTTTCCTGGCAAGGACTTTCACAGCCAGGTCTCTTCTACTGCCCCTTTGTGATCAGGAAAGGAAACGAGCCATTTTAACTTCAGGAAAGTAACTCCTGCTGCAATTAGAGGAACAGCAGATGACCTGCCTGGGAGATAGGTCAAGGGAATACAGTACTTTCTATGTGAGATACTTGTTTAAGATGGGGAAAATGTCATCAGATTGTTCAGAGATGCCTCTAAAGTCAGTGGAGAAACTCTTCTGGACTTGGATGGATGCAGGATCAGACCTTAATATCCAATACTCCAGCAAAGCCAGAAAGCTTCTTCTAGAATGGGTTGTCATCTTAGCCTTGCCTTGCTAGCAGTCACCTTTGCTGGCAGCGTTCCCATGCAGACAGCTCTTAAAATCTTTCTGCAGGTTAGTGCCTCTGAGGTCTACTCCTCCCCATTACTTCATCTAGCTCTGCTCAGGCATTCTGGCCTCGATGTCCCGACACAGTGAAGCCAGACCTTTTAAAACAGAGGGACAGAGACTGCCAGATGTTGCAGGACACATCTGTCATGGGATGGAAGACGGGCTCGGGCAGGAAACCATAGCTTGGATTTGTGCCACTAAGATGGGGTCAGCTCAATGGCCGATCCTGTGGCTGCGGTGCAGGGTTGCGGTCACTCCGTTGGAGGTTCCCCCACGCATGAGGGGCAGCTGCTGAACAGGATTACCTACGAGGGAAGAGTCCGCACCTACCGGCTGCATCCAGCGTGCTGGGTATGGGGAGAGGCCATGGGGCTCTGCTGGAAACGAGCATGGTTTAGCCCTTGCTGCGGGGGAGCGAATGGGGAGAGGCGAGGGGCTGATCCTCATTCTCCCTGCGCGAGACCCGACATGTGTGCGGATCTCTTCTGCCTCTTCTCTTGTGTGATTCCGCTGCGCAGGGCTCTCCGAGCAGAACGAAATTCATAGTCAGCTAAATAAACCATTAAATCAGTGGGGAGAGGGGCAGGGTGGAGGGAAGCCTCAATAAAAATGCTGGTTGTCAAGTGCCATGATTTTAGTTAACCGAAGTGCCATTGGGAGGTCCCTACGTGAGGCTAGTCGCATCCCTGGCACCTCTCAGCACCCATGCCCCAGCTCCTTCTCTGAACTAGCTGACGGAAAAAAATTTCCATCACTGGCTTCAGTCATTAGGCCCATGCACGCACGCTCTTGTACACATGTGTGCGCTTTGGGGGAACTAGGGTCACTTAAAAACAACCCAACAAAATTGATCAAAGCTTTCATTCCTATGGCTCTAACGCAAAATGTCAGATTGACAGCAACTCGGTGGCGTCCCTTTATATTTTTGGCACAGGCAGACGCTGCAGGGGGTGGGTCATGACTATTTAGTGCACTGCCCTAGATGGAGCTGCGAAGCAGCTGGGGAAGGGCTGGATAGAGGTAGAGCCTCAGTGCCACATTCCCGAGATTAGATTAGAGCTCAGCCCTGAACCCTGCAGAGGGGCCAGGCCAGTGAAAGCTAAAGGCTGCAGGAAAGATGGGATCCTAGCTGTCAAGAGCTTCCAAAAATAAAGAAAAGTGGGTCAGAGGGACTGAAGAGGGGCTGGAATGCTTCTTTAAAGTATAAGGGTAAGAAGGAAACAAGCTGTCACTCATTAAGAGAGGATTCCCATCCCCAAAAACACTGCCTGAAATGTCAAAGGTGAGAGTAATTGGACAGGGGAGTTGGAATTTGAGCATAGTTACCATGCAAGAGGAAAAACACTACACCTGCCCTTCAGGAAAGTATTTTAAGCTTAAAAATAAATACAATTCTGCACCATGAAAATGAAAGATATATGTTCCACGGATAGGATGTCTTGGAACTTGTTAAATCCTTGACTGCGCTGTTGTCACAATACTCTCCATGCCAGCTGTGTCAGTCATCAAATAAACAACTTCTCATCACTAGCAAACAGTGTGGGAGTAAAGGGGGGGTGTTCTGTCCCCAGAATGACTGCATTTCCATGATGTTACTAATAAAAAGCTACAAAGGATATTGTAGCACAGAAAGGCAGGCTTGAAAGAGTAGCCAGAATAAATTATCTATGATAATATATTATCTGCCCAGTGGCATAAATTTATTTCACTTTGTGATAGTGCAGACCCCTCTAAAGTTGTAAAGAGCTGACTACAACAGTATCACAAAGACTGAGTTTGGCCTGAAAGCAGGTATTCACACCTATTTGATTTCTATGGAATACAGTTTATCCTCCTCAAACTAAGAGCAGGTTTTCCACTAAGTACAGACTGAATACTCAATCAAATATAGCTTAATATTTCATATTTATCCAAATCTTGATGACAGTGGGTTCTGAACTAAGTGCAGAACCCAAGATACTGGAGATCTGATTTCCAATATGCTTTGGCTAAAACACAAGTTCTGCATAGCTACACATTTTCCATTTACTTTCACCCTCATGGCATAGCAGGATTAGTCTGAGAAAAATCTTACTCAGGTTTTCATTAGGCTTGGCTCACATGGGATTTATACAAACTTAAAATGATTTAAATTTAGAATGAGAAATTGGAAGAATTTCACATAATCCTGAAGAAAAAAAAAAAAAGAGAACCCCCCCAACCCAAACATATAAAACTCTTTTTAGAGCTCACGTGAAAGCTACATTACCCCTGAGTATCCTTCTAAGTTACCACAGCCTGTTCAAGAAATCTGCTTGATACAGCAAGAGCAAACCAAACATCCCAAACCTGTGTCAATAAAATCTTTACAATCCTTCTCATTTCTCGTTGTATGAAAGGCAGATTCCACACCCACAATAGTTCAGGCAAATCCCAGTAAGTATCTTACCAGAATGCCTCCAGTACTCTGTCCTCGGCAAACTGCTGACACCAGTCCCAGTCATTACTGCATAACCACACACACTTCACTTCTCATCACACCTCCACCACAGGCTCTCATCTGTCTGATGCTTTGGCTCCAGTGCAATCACTCGTTCAACATCTGCATCCTCTGCGGCAGCAAAGGTGAAAGAAACAAAGAAATACTGCAAGAATCACCCAGCCCGGCAGTTTTCAAATGCTTACTCTTACCTAGCTATGCTATTGCTCCCAGTACGCTAGGTGCTTTTCAAACATTCAGGCAACAGAGAGAAAAAATACAGAACAATGGGCAGATGCTCAGCACATGCACTTGGAATTGCCCTGCACCAGGAATACTGCCCCACTGTGCATTACAAGGCTGACTTTAAAACGTCTGGGAGAAGGTTCTGGTTTGCATTTACACCAGTATGATTTGACACCAACTTCAACAAGCAAGATTTCGTCCTGTTCAGGTCCTGTTTTCAGTGTCCCTGCATGGACGAGCAGGGTGGAAGGAAAGGTAGGTCTCCTGCTCCTCTGAGCAATCCTGCTGCCATGCTCCAGGTGGCCCATGAGGCCAAATCCACCACCAATGGGGATTTTTCAGCAAACCAAATGGGGACTGCCCCTTTCCCCTCTTGCCTGAGCCAAAACAGTGGTCCTTCAAGGTCAGCAGTGTAATAAACTGGCAAAAGGTAGATGGAGAAGCTGCCAGCTCTGCATCTTGCCAGCTATCTGTCACACTAACGGATAAATAGATACTCATGCTTCCAGGATTTTCCATTCATTGCTTAACCCGCCCACAATGAAGTCGTCACTTAATTTTAAATTAAAAGGGGAGCAAGAGGGATTGTTAAAAAGACCTAGAGAAAGCCAGGGAAGGAGGCGACATCTGAGAGCCCTGGGTTATCCTACCCCATCCAGCCTCTATCATTGCTGCTTTGTTCCATATTTAGCTCCTGACAACTGTGCCTAGTGCAGGAACTCCCAGCTCTGTTTTTCCCTCCTCCCTCTGCTGTCTCCTCTCCCTTAGAGCTCTCAGAAATTGCTCTTTTTTTTCCCTAGTGGCCATAACTTAATACCCCTATACTCAAGAAGATGGCAGAAATGCAGGAGGAGCCCAGCAACACCCAGAATGGTGAACCTGACAACGCAGAAGAGGGTGAGGAAAAAAAGAAGAAGAAGTTGAAGCGGGAAGACCTGCCACCGTTTGAAATTGTGACAGGGTAAGAGGTTTAGATATAAATATGAGGGTGCAAAAGAGTGAAGCGGGGATGGTCAAAGGTCTCTGCCTCAGCTCTTATGTTGGGTAATTAAAGATGGTATCTTCAGCCAGTGCACTTCTGAGTATTTTTAAACGATGTAAGTACGGCTTTCATTATTGTGGGATTTTGTTAAAAGTTTCACCGAGTTTTACGGAGGATGGAATCACACCGGGCAGGCAGACAAATCTGTTTGTTTTATACAAGCAGGTCTGTTTCTATAGCGTTGACCGATTCCCTTACAGTGCAAGTAGTCCCACTGACTGCGATGGGATCACTTGCTGATATCAGGATGGAAGGTATTGGCCCTTGATGAGCACTGAATATTGATTTCTTGGTGTGATCAATGGCTCTTGTCTGAAAGTTTCTCTATCTGTGGACTAGGAAAAATACCCCTGCTATGGCTGATTTTCTTTACGGACCTAAGGGATAGCTTTTTCAAATGAGGAAAAAGTCCACATTTTCAAGGGCTCCACACCCACAGCTGGAACCTGACTTTCAAAAAAGCCTAACTCGCAGAAGGGCACCAAAACGATAGGCAGTTTTCAAGACAGCAAAGCAGCAAGCAGCTCCTTTTGCTCCCGTGAGCCTGGCCTTTAAAGGCGGTAGATATAACAGAGATTACTGGAAGCTGAACTCTGTCAGACATAATGGACAGCTGCAATTAGAAAAAAAACTGTGTAATCTGCTATCTCTACGCATTTCAAAACGCTCATTCTAGTAGTAGCAAGATGCCCTATACAGTTCTTCCCTCTGGTCTCCCTTAGCAGTCACCAAGGCAGTGTTGCCAGCATGTAAATCAAATCCATGATTTCTTCCAACTGCTTGAATATAAAGTTCAGGCCAGACTCTTAAAATCCCACTTGGAATCCTTCTGCCTGTGACATGGTCACTGGTAAGAAAGATTAAAAAAATTTGGCTGGCATTTCTGAAAACGATGCATGAAGCAGGACAGCACCTATGTCTGATCTCACACAATTGGGTTACATCCCTGCACAGGGGTGAAAAAAACATTTTCTTCTTAAAATATGTCTGCTCTGAAAAACCACTTACTGGGCTGGGGTTGTTCACAGCCTTTGGTCTCTGTCATACACAATCATAGAAATAATATATGTCTGCTAGAGCAGTGAGTTTTAAGAAAAGCACATCCCTCTGCTAGGAACAGAGCTAAGACACCAAAAATTGTTTATATACGCTATTGGACCAACAACACATGTAGTGACAACTTCTAGACACTTAAGACATGCACTAAAATGAATCTCAATGAAGAAATCGCATTTTTCAGCCTTAGAGCACTCAATTTGCAATTAGAAATTGCTAAGGAATTGGGCGGTATCTTCAAACTTCCTTGCTAACTCCAATGACCCAGATAGGAATTGATGTGCTAATCATGGATGAAAAATACTTTCTTAGTGTAATCCCACAATGAAATTATTTGTTGAAATGGGAAAGGTGTTGCAGAAGTTGACAGGACTTTCCACTCTGGAAAAGCGGCAGCAAGAAAGCGAGGGATGACATGTGCTTGCGCAAAGGGATAACAATAGGAAAACTTAACCTGCTGAGACTTAGGAGCGAGCTGCGCTGCTGGAACTGCACCGGGACAGAGGTACTCAAGTAAGAGCGGCAGGTGATGCAGGGAAGCCTCGAGTTAAAGTCTGTGCTATGGTATCTACATACGTTAAGCTGGCACCAGCTGATTTTCACATTCTATACGCTGATACCAAGGCAAGACAGGAGTTTACGTTTCTGAAATGAAAGTAATCAGCCATTTGGTGAGGCACCATAGAGCTGTCAGTATGTGAGTATTTATACTGTCCTCATCACAACACTATTTGGAAAGTGCTTATAAATATCTGGTGAATTCGTGTAGGAATCCTGACCAAATCTCCTCTAATTATTAGTTTATGACTAATAATGAGACTAATTATGAGAACAAGGAAGTAAAGCAGAAATCCTAAAGGACCTTGAAAGAGATACAGAAAAATCCAGCAATTTTTACTTTCATTTTAAGAGGTACCCTGTGAGTTCAGACTGTGCCTCAACTTGGTATGATCACTGTGTGGATTTTTCTAATTATTTACAAATTTTCAGCCAATAAAGCCAGTTATGTGAATTATGAGGAAACACGTAACTGCAACTGTGGAAGCACTTAAATTCAATTACACTGCATCTCAGTTTTAGCCCTTGGATTAGGGGCATCTTAAGACACACAGCCAAGTTTTCAAGCTGTTGCTTACAGCTCTAAGGAGTCTGGCTTACACAAAAAATACTGGGAACCTCATCACTCTGTTTAAGAATATTAACCCCTTTTTTTGTCAATATTTGTCTCAACACAGTCCTGGATAAATATAAGCCCCATCTGTGTACATTTCGTGACATTTAAGTAGACACATTTATTTACACTTTCCCAAGGGTGTAAATGAGGCTCCTTCTAGCAGTGATAAATCCTTGGTTCCCGTTACAGTTGATCATTACAGACTTTCTATAATCAATGAGCCCAGCATGAGTGTGTTTACTTGTGAATAGTTGTCAAAGAGCAAGCAAAAGGACACTGTTTTATCAGCTCAAATAACCTAAGACCATAGTATAAATAGTCACTGAACAAATATTTAAATCTACAGATTATGTCCTACTAGTTTACAACATCTTTTAGATAATCCCACACTTTTATTCTCTCATTAGTTGTTCTAATTTTCTTCTCCTACCCAGCACGCAACAGCAGTGGGGTCATGCTGGGCAGCTGCTGTATTCCTCCAGCGTACCTTATTTCAGCAAACTTAAAAGCACATTATCTGTTCAGTCCAGTACCATTCTTACAGACTGAGGTTTCTGCCTCAATGGGTAAAATAGGTATAATATTAACATTTGTACACCACCCGTCATTCAAACATGGGAAAATAGGCTTGCCAAGAATTGGTCGTTTACTTAGGAACAGCCAGGAAGCTATTCAAAGCTAGACCTGAGCTTCCAAAGAAGTTGGCTTAGTTTTCTGTAGTAGTTGACACAGCTATTTCAAGGATGTATTTTGATGCTCAGTTGTTTGGAAAGAGTTTTAATCTACCCAAATAAACAACGCCATTACAATAATTCACATTGCAATAAATTATGAGGGTCATCTGCCAAGCATGCTGTAACTCAAAGGTGAGATTGTGCAGCATACGGCATTTAAGTATGTATGCAGTCTTATGGTACATACGGTTTGTTGTTGCCCATTCTTTCACTGCTGAATCACTTGCTTCGGGGCTTTCCAATTACTCAGAGGACCAGAGACACCTTGCCCAAATCCGCACTGCTGGGAAGAGTCACATAGCAAGGACTCAGCTAAGCCCTGTCAGGACAGAAGTTTACAATTCACGCTTGTGCCAAAATGTCCTCCCTGCTCTGGTTTACATGGGATTAAGCAGATTCTTGCTAACTAGAACACACAGCTCATTGGTTGCCTGTGTGTCAACAGTCAGCAAATTTTCCAAGCTCTCAGCCAGCTACTTACAGACTTGGAAAACACCCTTAGCTTTGTTTATATTCTTTATCGGAAACGTATTAATTAAGCTGATGCATATTCCATGTTGCTAGGAGGACAGATTTAGGTGAACATCCCAGATAATCTTAGACAGACGCCGAGATGATAAGCAATAAAATCCGTCTAGAAGGCCTGACTAAATACACCTCTGAGTCAACACATCCTGGAACAGATCGCTGCTGTTTAAACAGTTCATCAAAACACACAGACCCAACCTCATCACTGATGTAACTGCTTTGCAGTCAAGACAGTTAAATCAGGAATGAATTTCCATGTGACTCTGATGTGCTACATTTAAATACATGATGTTATTTTAAAACAACTTATTGTAGCCTTACAAACTTAGCTCTGAAACAAGGCAATGGGTGGCTTATGTCAGACCAAACATAGCTGGACTTCAAAGAAATCATTAATTAAAGAATCATTAAATCATTAACCAAAGAACCATTCATTATCTAGGATATAAAGCAGGAAAAGCACTATTCTCAGACGCATGTGAATTTTTTTTGTCCCAAAGAACACGAGAAAGGAGTTCAGGGAATAAGAGGCCCTATGCTAAATTAGGGTCTGACAATGCTCTTTTATAAAATCAGTGGAAGTCTTGCAATTCATCTTAAAGAAAATGAGACTCGCTCTAACAGATAACTTTAAGTCATCTTACATAAGGGAAGAGAGGTCAAAATGCTACGAAAAGGAGGTTAAAGTAGTCTTTCAGGGTAGTTTAGAACTTGTGCAAGAAATTGTGTGGACATTTCCTTTATCTAGGCTTGTGCAAACTCTCAATGCAAACCAGAGAACCATAGACCAAATCATACCAAAACAGTCTGTATGCACACTACTGCTTCCCATCCCTCATTAACACACTGCCAGCTAAACCAGGAATAGCATGGAAGGCTCCTAAACAGGTTTTTCTATTGTTTAAGTCCTGTCTCGTGCAGATCTCATCTAAGTAGAATTGAACAATGTAAGGGTTTAATTATACCATTTAAGAAGCAGCTGAAAACCTCCTTCTAGTAAATTTCTAAAGCCAAACTTGTACTCTAAACTTCCACTGTCACAAATCAACGATATGTGAAAAGAATTACGGTAGTCCTTGACTGACAGCAACAATAGATATTCCCAGTGTAGATGCAGTTCTATGAACAAAATTGTTCCGACTCGTACATCTCGTTGCATTTGTAAGACTGATGATCTTCCTCTCTCAGTGCAAAGTACAACTGTGCCAACCTAACCGCATCAACTCTCACACCATTTGGCTGGTATAGTACACTGATACTCCAAGGGAAGTTGTTCACTGTAAAACCATGCTGCTGGGAAATCCGAAACAGAAGTGGGAACTATAACTCCAGGCCTTTTACTGCGAATCTGTGTAGCAGGCCCAAATGGACCCTAGACACTACTGTAGTATCATAAAAAATTAAATAGAGAGGGTGTTCTTTTATGTTTTAACTTTCTAAAAAGCCAAAAATGCAACAGGACTTTGGCAGCAGGAAAATTCCTGGCTGCATTAAGACAAGTAGGGAATATACACATACTGAAGAGAAATTTCTGTGAAATTTACAAAGAGAAACTTTGTAAGTGGAGATGTTGTTGTTTGGAAAATTGTTTTTAAACTTTTAAAATAACACAGCTAAAGCAGCTTGGCAATAGCTATAATTTACTCTGAGTTACGTATTTAGACAGCACACTATTTCCAATTCTTATCTAAGCAAAAAGCCATTTGCTTACAGTACGTAGTGTAATATTTGCAGCCAGGTATTACATGAAGAACTCTTAAGTGCCTGTTCCCTGGTCTTTCTGTTCAGACATTCCTGTTCCAATCCCTCTGATTTGCATAGAATATCATGCTATTCAGGATGTTTCATGCAGTCCTAGCAAAGCTTAATCCATTGCACTCTATAGAAAGACATCCACTAATTTTAAAAGGCATCAGATCCAGCTCTTCATGAACAGTCCTTATTCCTTACCTGCAACAATCCCACGTGTTCACTGTGGCCCATACTGGCATTTCCCACTAGCGAACTGACAGTACATTCACTCATGGTTCCCACATCACTAAGCGAGCAGAACATACTGATTCTGATTCTCTTCACTCTTTTCCATACCCTTCACTTCCATTGTCTCTGGAGACATCTTGTGAGATGTTGCATCACAAATTGTTCTTTCCTCTCAGAACGACACTTTGCCACTTACTCCTGCAGCCTCGTTGCTCTCCCCAATTAAAATTTTCAAGAGTCTGAGAATCTCTCCTGACCTTTGCTCAGTGTACCCCCTGGAGAGGCCTGACATTATAATCTGGCTACAGATGAGACAGGGATGTATAAGACACTTACTGTTTTACAAAGACTCATTATCGCCTCACTGGGAATATCAAGGTTATAGGTCCACCTAAAGCTCAGATGAGAGGAGTACAACATGCCAGAAGATTACTAGTGTGTAATAAATTAAATGTTGTGTTACTACTTTTCATTATTTCACTTTGGCTTTGGCTACTCTGTGCAGTCTTCGCTCCTATCCTTTGCAGCATTTAGCAGGTCACAAGGCATGTTGCCAGCACTATCTTTTTCATCTTCCCACCTAACATCCTTCAAGGACTACTTCTTATACTGATGTACTCCACAGTTAGATGCTACAGGGAGCAATCAGGAAAGCCCGGTACTCCATTAGAAAATAACAGGTACTACGAGATGATGCAGCTTTCCTTTTTCACCTCTTCAGTCAGCAATGCATAAAAGTCATACACAGTATTTTAAGGGACTAATTTTAACTTCCCTAAAAAACAGCAGACTACCTTCTTTGGGTGAAAGAGTACTGCAAACACATTACTCACTGCGATGATTCACTTTGGATCATGCTCATTTAGAAACCCAGAATGGAAGAGGTGCACAACATTAAAAAAAAGTATCTGAAGTTTATCAGTAGCATCCATGAGACAGCTATCAAATTTCAGTGGGAAATACACTTTTTCATAGCAAAGGTAGATTTGATCTCAGATATTTTATTAAACCAAAGTCACAACATAATCCTACTGAATATTAGTATTCAGCTGATACTGGAAGAGTAAAACTAGAACATGTAAAAACTGCAACTAGTCAGTCACGCTTGCCTCTACTCAGAGGAAATCCAGACTGCAAAAGCATGGGGGTAAAACATTAATTAGCAATGCCAGAGTTATCATACTAACAATTTAGGGCAACAGATCCTGCAGATTAATATTGCAACACCACACTGAAAGAACTATATTAATGGCCTAGAAAACAGTAGAACAGCTCAGTCTACGGTGCATTAAGACTGGGAAAATGCCAATTGCTGTCCTTCCTTACCAACAGTAAATATCATAGCCTCAAGAAACAACATTTCAGAAGCAAGTTCCTCTTCAAATACCTCAATGCAGATACCAGAAATTTCCAGTACAAGTTTGTTAAAATTAATTGAAAAAGACTAGGTAGTGACAACGGGCCTGGAAGCCTCACCACTCAGCAAGACTAGCTGAATATCTTGTAATTTTTAATGTATTTTTACGCACCTATTAAAAGGCATCTCCTTTTAATACACGAAGAAATACAGCCATCATAGATGCAGTGACTTGTCCAAGATCACACAGGAACTAAATCAATGCTATAACCCTTTATTATCTGCCTCTGAGATGCTTCTCTCCTCTCCACTCTTTATAGGGAGCGCCTCCCAGCCATATTTTTCAAATTCCAGTTCAGGAACGTGGAATACAGCTCAGGCAGGAACAAAACCTTCCTGTGTTACGTTGTTGAGACCCAAGGCAAAGAGTCAGTGACTTCTCGGGGTTACCTGGAAGACGAGCATGCAGCCGCCCATGCAGAAATGGCTTTCTTCAACACAATTTTACCACAGTGTGATTCAAGCCTCCGCTACAACATCACCTGGTACGTCTCCTCCAGTCCCTGTGTGACCTGTGCTGATCGGATAACCGAGACCCTGAAGAAGAACAAGAACCTGCGTCTGACAATCATGGTTGGGCGCCTCTTCATGTGGGAAGAACCAGAAATGCAGGCTGCCCTGAAAAAAATGAAGTCAGCTGGCTGCAAGCTGAGGATTATGAAGCCTCAAGACTTTGAGTATGTCTGGCAGAACTTTGTGGAACAGGAGGAAGGAGAGGAAGCAAAGGCTTTCGTGCCATGGGAGGACATTCAAGAGAACTTCCAGTATTATGAGGAAAAGTTGGCTGAGATTTTGCACTGAAACTCACGTGAGTGAGGATTTCCACTTGGTCACCTAGCTCCCTGTATTAGTATTACAGACTCCTCTTTTTTCTTCAGGTTGTTAGAGGCGAAATCCGGAGCCAATTTCAGTTACTGTTACTCTTATATGTACCTGGCTGGGTTTGCCTGTACCTCGATATTGAAAAGAATCCTAGGCAATAACTTACCCCTTCAAGAGCAGTAACGCTACAGTGGGCTCCTCCACAGTAGACACATAAGGGATTTAGAGCTTTTCTTTTTCTCCTCACAGTAAACACCTCCAGGAATAAGAAATAAAAAGGTACTAGGGTCACTAGGTGCAACAGGAATACCTCATTGTTCCCCACATGCGTGATATTCAAGACATACGTGGCAACAGTGAGAGGAATGTAGAGAAAAAGAGATTTCCCCCACCCTTCAAAGTCTAGCCCTCTAGAAAAAAAAAACAACCACTAAAGGAAATCACAGTTATCATTGCAGAATTCCCTTCTTTCTTTTTAAGGGGTACTAAAGGGGTACTATTTAAGCCATAAAACATGAAAGCATTTGAAGCTTCTAACATGTCTCTCTTTCTCCTTCCCCAGGACCAATTCAGAAAAGATCTATGAAGAGAGATGCGACAGACTTGGACATCTGCGACACTCCTGCTTTCCAAAGCTTTGATTCCAACAGGATGGAGTACCAACTTCTGGAAGACTAGGCCCTGATGGACTACAAATACATATACAACACAGATCGTTGGTGTTTGGGATTTTTTGGTTTATTTTGTTCCTCGCCCCCCTTCCCCGCCCCAAACAAACCCATGCTGCCTCTGCTGATCGGAAAAAAGGTGGCAACATACTGTGTGGTTAAAGCCTTGAAAGAAATGGATTGTAGTGGACCTACAGGAAAGACTGTAGGCCTCACATACTGGGACTACTTTACGAGAAAAGATCTTAGAACAAAGCTGCCAATTAGATAAATGCGTTTAGAAAATCCATACTTCATAAACATTAAAAAGAAAGGGATTTAAGATGAAAAAAAGGTTTTCTTCCTCTGACCTCCTCAATAATCAGAGCTGTGATTTAAATTAGGGCTAACTGGTCTATTCTAAATTATGATGGAGACCTAAGTACTTGATTTCAAATACATCAAATACCTTCTCCCCTTGTTCAATGATGTTTGTGATATAAAACTGGGAAAAGCGAAGTGAAATAAAATTGGAAGTCGCTGCAAAAGCTACAGCACTGTTTATTCCTTCCTCTCCATTTGCAAGAGGTCCTAAATTTAATCTGACAAGTGAGACATCCTGGGACAGCCACGTATGAAATATTTCATAGCTGAAGTGCAGCATGATGAGAAGGGAGAATTACTATATGCCAAAAAAATTTCAAGAGTACATACAAGTGCAGGAGACAGAGAGAGAGAATATGGGCATATCGCTTTCCATATAAAACAAGGCACAGACCAAACAAGGGTCACAGGGACGCTCATCAGCTAAGAAACCAAGTCAGACAGGGTTCGTTCTTCTAATCAGTTCTTCATTTCGGTTTCTCCTGCACTGTCACAAGCTGGAATGGTGCCAGACACACACACGAAACTGCTGACTGCACCTGCCTCTTGCCTCAGTCAACTGCACTAAATTCTGGCACAAATTTTCAAGGCAGAAAAAACAAGTGGCAATGAGAACACCTTTGTGGAGCCACTGTGGATTTCAGCTCTTTGCCACTAGATTTAAAAAACAAACATAAATAAGCGTAAGGACTAAATCAATGAGCAGTCTTGATGTCCACTCTTGATCAGCTTAATACTCCAAATTCCTATTTGTCTTACCGAGTTTATTTTTTTTTTTCAGTTGTGTATTTAGCTACAGCAATTATCCACCAAAAACAAGTTTACAAAGGATGTTCAACAGGGAGAGTAATAATATGAAGCTCTGAAAGACGCAAACAGGATTTGCAGATCTGCATCAGCAAAGAAACCACACAATACAGATTAACCCACAATGCTCAGAACAGAAAACGCTCCACCCATTCTACTCATAATGAAAACCAATTAGGAACCCTATGTTATGCTAAAAACTTCTCAACTGTTATGTTCCATTTATTCAACGCATCTGGCATTTTTCTGGGCATTCAGTATGACAGAAGTCAAAAAGATTTGTTATGGGAGGGTGGGGAAAACCAAACATATAGGAAATGCAGGGTACAATAGTTCTTCAGTACTGGAACTTTCAAAAATCAAGTGTTTACCAATGGTCTGACGAACTGAGCCTGGTACCGATTTGCTTTTGCTATTGGTAACATCAAACACCAACCTACATGTAACACCTAAACTGCAAATGCAGTAAAAAAGAAATATGAAAAACAAACCTTAAACTCCATACTATGACTTTTTAAAGCACATCAGTCATTCACGTGTGGATTCTCAGAAAACTGAGTTCTGCAGACTGTACCAATTACATGGTATAAAATGTACCCAGAAGGTGTCCTTACACATCTCCAGCATTCCCCTTCAAAACCCAGCTTTCCTCTAGAATACAGCCACAACACATACAGACATTGGTATGTTTTTCAAAAGGACCATGCTCCGATCTGACAGCAGAGTACTGAAGAGCTATTTATTTAATGTTGACAGCATGATTCTTAGTCAGTACAGTCTCGTAACAAAAAAACTGTATTTGTGGCCAGAAGGTAGAAATTAAATTTTTAATCCTGCAACGAACAAAGTAAACTGTATGCCAGATATGAACATTGCAAAACTTCTAAAAAAAAAAAAAAGTGACAGGGCTCCACAGCTCATCATTATCAACCGTAACTACAAACCAACAAATACCTAAACAACAGACAGCTCCAATTTCACTCTGCACAGGAACTGTCAGCTTTAAGCAGAAGCTCTAGTGCAAGCAGGTGCTCCGTGGAGGACCAGTGACATCTGGTGGCTTGCTGGGACAGACCAGGAACTCCCAGAGGGCTGCCACAACACCCCTGCCTTCTTCACAGGCTCCCTGAACACTACATCCCAAATTATCTGCTCTGGAGCTTTTTTTTTTGATGTTGTTGTTAAAAGCCACTGCCACTGACAACACAAGAGTGAGCTACGCTCAGACGAGTAATGTGCTCAGCATGCAGTTCCCCCCTCATCAGTTAAGAGGTTTCCACTCCTGAAAGCAAGGGAAATGGGGCTCTCTTTAAACTCTTTTGCTCACAGAGTGTAAACCGTAATCTTTATATCTGTGTCTTCAAACACTTCCCCAAGTATTGCTGAAACTTTATTCCAATCCAGGCGGTCAAGTCCACATCCAATCCTGGAAAATAAGACATCAAAACAGCTGTAATGGCCTCTTTTGGAACATGCTGTGAATAACTAGCCCTTCAACGAGCTACAATTTTTGTGGCACTAACTCAGCTCACTATAGATCAACGTAACGCAGTTAAAATAAGGAAACAACTGAGCCTGTATGTTTCGCTATTTAAAGACACTAGGAAATGCAAATTTCATTTGCACAATTAAGAGAAGAGTTGAATAGAAGTGGATACCTGAACTCTTCTTTCACAGCAGGGAATCAGCTCTCAAGCATCCTTCTATGCAAGAAATATTGAAGTATTTACACCACAGTAATTAATTTTCTTACCTAGGCATGGAAATGTCAGTAACTCCATTGTTTAGACAGTGAGCTTTCATGGCTTCTAAACTCTTTCGCATATTCTCGTACGTCGGTTTGTGAGAAACTTTCTTCTTTGTAATCTAAGTATAAATGTAAAAGGTCAGTTGTGCCTTTGGCATGATCACTGCAAACTTTTCTTTTTTTAAAAAACACATTCCACTACACTCTGAAACTCCACACCCAGAATCACTACTGTGAAGGGAAAAAGAACAATGTTTCACAGCTTAAAATAGTATAACTTAGCAGCTAGTTCTGTCAATTTAAAGTTTAAATATACATACACAAGAGAGCTTGGCTCCTTCTCAACTACCAGTATTTGAGTAATACATCTCACACCTCTTATTTAGAAGAGCATACTCAAAAAACTCACAACTATTAGAGCCCTCATCATCATATCTAATACAGTTTAGTTACAGGGAAGTGCCTAAGTGATGCCCCACTCTTACCAGGTAGTAAATGTATCGGTCATCTCTTTGGAGAACCGCCACCTCCCCAGTCTTCTTTTCTAAAGTGAAGAAATGAAGAAGGCATTTTTAAAACAGTTACACTGCACTACATAATCCCCCCCTGCACCCCAAGTAGCTTGGAATACCCTTACTGCTGGAAATCAAGGTTTTCCCTTCAGCTCCTGCATGTCCACCCCACGTGTATCACTCACGTTGATCCAACAGCTCTTGTACGCCTCCAAACTTTTTCTTAAAAAGAACAGCTATGCCTGCACCCATGCGACAGTCCTCGCTGATGCAATGAGCCAATGAGTCCGTCTGGGGGCATGAGAAAAGGTCCCCCTTAACACACTTGATCTGGAAAACACCACAAACAGAAGGGTAAATAAAAATAAGCTGAGTGCAGACTCAGATAAGAGAATACTCAGGTAACAGGGAATTTGGCAAGCCTGTACAGCAATGAGTGTAAGGCATCGAGTTTAAGATGCAGTTCACAAGTAAATGAGTTGGCATGAATTATGAACCCAACATACGGATAACTATCTTTTCTACAAGATCAGTTATGAGTATCACGTGCCAGCTCAGCAGCTAATTTTACAAAATCAATGCTTAAAAAGGAAAATTATGTAATAGAGAGTACAACTGTATTAGTGCACATCTTCAGCATACTATCAGTGTGTCAGTGCTGGATATCCCCAGACGTCTAGTTAAGCAGGCAAGCTCTGTACTATTGTACAATATCTGCATCACTGACATAAGCACAAAAGCACAAGAAATTTAGCAATATCAGCCACTTTCCTCCAAAAAGCTACATGGTACAGCCAGCTGCCATGTTATTAGGGGGACAGGAAGGTCTCTTTACAGAGACACCCATCACAGCAGTAGCCCAAATAACCCATTTTCTACGCACTCTCTCCTCCTGATCCTTGGAGAAGTGGGTGGCCATGGTAACGTGGGCTGTGGTGAAGACTCCTGCAGCTGGAAAGATGACAGAGAGAAAAACAGAGTTATTAGGAATCCCAAACTAGGCAATAAGCTGGCGTGCCAGAAGGTGCAAGCCTACTTTATCTATGGGACAGCTGGGACAATGAAGACATCCCCTGAAAACAGAAAAGGAGGAGGCCAGTACCCCCAAATAGTGTGGTGCAAGCTCTTCTCCTGCAGCCCCACAGCTCTAGCCCATGAGGTGCAAGTAGGCCCCAGTCCAGGGTCACCACACAACTGGTACCCACAGGCCTTCCGTCCTCCTCCAATTCACCCCTGCCCCTTCAGGAAACCCTTCAGCAGGCCACACCCGCGGACACGGTGTGAAGCACGATCCCCCAGGCCGGGGCTTGCGCCACAAACAACCTCCCCAGCACTCCCCACATCAGTTAACCCAGTCCTTCCGCTGCTCTACCACAGCGGCCCGATCGTCACAC